GATGGAAAAGCTCAGTAGGTCTGGCAGCATCTGTGAAGGAAAATGCAGAGTTAATGTTTCGGGTCGGTGACCCTTCTTCAGAACTTCCTCTGGAGGACTGTGAGCAGTTTTGGTCACATTATTGAAGGAAAGGTATCGTTTCATTGGAGGCACTTCAGAGAAGGTTTGTTAGGATGATCCCCAGTATGGAGGGATTGTTTTACCAGCAAAGGCTAAATAGGTTGGGACTGTACTCACCGAAGTTTAGAAGAATGAGAGGTGATCTCATTGAAATCTATAGGATTCTTAAAGGGCTTGATAGGCTAAGTATTAAGAGAATGTTTTCCCTCATTGTAGATTCTAGGACCAGAGGGCATAGTTGCAGAATAAAGGGGTCCAATTTAAGACTGAGGTGAGGGGGAATTTCTTCTCTCAGAGGGGTGAGTGTCTTTGAAACTCCTTGTCACAGAGAGCTGTGAGGGCAGAGTTCTTGTTTACATTTAAGGCTGAGACAGATTGATTTTTGATCAGTTTGTGCATCCAGGGTTACACAGGAAAGTGGATGTCAGGAATGTTGGGATCAGGCGTGATCCGACTGAAGGTGGAACAGGCTTGAGGGGCCTATTCCTGCTTCAATTTCTTATGGCTAAGGCTGATATAGTACTTCAATATCCAGTAGTTTATCTAAGTATTAGATATTTAGATATCTAATATTTTATTAGATATAAATGTGGGCATTTTACTTGAATACCCTGAATCAACAAAGCAGCTATAATTAAACTTTCTGTTCTGCAAATGTGCAGGACTCTACCATAATAATTGATAAGTGTTACATTTTATATCTGTATATGTTTCCAAATTTAAGGGCTTCCTCTTTCGGCATGGGAAGGCTGTGTACTGCAATGATGTGCAACCAGTCGCAGGATCATTGAGATAAAAGCAAAATACTGGAGATGCTGGAAATTTGAAACAAGCACAGGAAATGTGGAGAAACTCTGCAAGTCTGGCAGCAGAGAGAAAAACAGTTAATGTTTTGCATCCAGTATGACTCTTCTTCAGAACTGAAAGTTGTTGGAATTTTTAAAATATTTTTGAGAGAAGTGGAGAAGAAGCAGGGAAACAGATGGCATAGGGGCCCAGTGCAAAAGACAAAGGGGTTGTGAAAGAGAAAGAGAAAATGTGTGTGATTTAAGGTGTGATAAGGAGAAAATGGGTCCTCGTTAGAATCATACAGTTCAGAAGAAGCCCTTTTACACTGCTATCTACACAAGAGATAACAATGTGTGGAGCTGGAGGAACACAGCAGGCCAGGCAGCATCAGAGGAAAAGGAAAGTTGACGTTTCAGGTCGGGACCCTTCCTGCTCCTCTGATGCTGTGTTCCTCCGGTTCCACACTTTGTTAACTCTGACTCCAGGATCTGCAGTTCTTGCTATCACTATCTACACAAGTCCCACTTTCCCACACTAGGCCAGTAGTACTTGAATGTTATGGCATTTCAAGTGTTCATCCAAGTGCTTTTTAAAGGTTGTGAGGTTACCTGTCTCAATGACCCTCCAGTGACAGTGCATTCCAGATCCCCATACCACCGTCTCGGTGAAAAAGCTTTTCCCAAATCCCCTCTAAACATCTTGCCTTTCACACTTGTTACAGACCCTTCAACAAAGGGGAATAACTGCTTTCTATCCACCTTTTCTGTGCCTCTAATAATTTTATTTGGCTCAATCAGGAACCCCCAACCCTCTCAGCTCTAAAGAAAATGATCCGAGCATTCTGAAGAAGGGGTCACTGCACTTGAAATGTTAACTCTATTTTCTCTCCACAGATGCTGCCAGACCTGCTGAGTTTCTTCAGCAATTTCAGTTTTTGTTTCAGATTTCCAGCATCCGCAATTTTTTGTTTTATTAACCTGAGCTTATCCAGCCTCTCTTCATCATTGAAATGTTCCATTCCAGGCAACATCCTGGTGAATCTCCCTTGTATCCCCTTCAGTGCAAATGCTTTGTCCCCATAGTGTAGCGACAAACACTGCACATAGTACTCGAGCTGTGGAATAACCAAAGTTCTGAACAACTTCAACATAATGACCCTCTTCTTATGATCTTTGCCTCAACTGATAAAGATGTGTCCCCATATGCCTTCTTAACTACATATCAACCTATTCTCTTCAGGACAAGCATCCCAAGATCCTTGTGTTCCTCTGAGCTTCCCAATGTCCTGTCATTCTTTGTCTTATTACTTCTTCCAAAGTGCATCACCTCAGATTTATCAACAAAGTAAACAAGACACAAGCAAGACAAGATGGTGGCGGGAGTAGGGAAGAATGTAAGAAAAATGAAGAGGAGGAGCATTTGGGTTGTTATATTTTCAGATACCACTGGTGCCAGAGTATAGCATTCTGGTTTGGATAGTTCACTGTCACTAATTCTCCTTTCTCTACTGTTTTAAAATATAGACCAATTAGTCAAATTAGAATTGATAGCTCCTAAGGGGCACAGTAACAAAAATTAAAAACTCCAAATGAAACTTTTAAGTTAAAATTAAAATAACATTTTTGGGAATTTTGATGCACCCCAGCCCCTGTGGTGCCCACTGATCAGAAAAGACTCCTCCTTCCTCTAAGCTGCATCTAGAATCTGTCTAATTAACATTGGTAGAGGATAAACCACTGGTGAACCTAAAGAGAAGAGGCACCTGTCTCACATAACATGGTTAATTTCATGATGGCATCTGTGGAGAGAGAAACAGAATTAACATTTTGAGTCCAGCTGATGAATTGTTTCCAGAACTGAAATGTATTGGAAAGTTATATTTATATCTTATATTAAATTAATATGCTTGCCTTCATTGCTCAGAGCTTTGAGTATAGGAGTTGGGACGTAATGTTGAGGTTGTATAGGATGTTGGAGGTCTCTTCTGGAATACTGTGTCCAGCTCTGTTCACCCTGCTATCGAAGGATATTATTAAGCTGGAGAGGATTTGGAAAAGATTTACCGGGATGTTGCCGGGAATGGAGGTTTTGAGTTATAAGGTGAGGCTGGATGGTTTGGGACTGTTTTCACTGGAATGTAGCAGGTTGAGAGGTGACCATTTAGAGGTTTATAAAATAAGAAGGATACAGATAAAGTGAATGGCAGGTGTCTTTTCCCTAGGATGGGGTATTTCATGACTAGGGGGCATATTTTTAAGGTGAGAAGAGAAAGATTTTAAAAAGACATGAGGGGCAACTTTTTTTACAGAGAGGATGATTTGTGTATGGAATGAACTTCCAGAGGAAGTAGCGGATGTAGGTATATTTACAATGTTTAAAAGGCATTTGGATAAGTTTATGGATAAGAATTGTTAGGAGGGATATGAACTAAACTAAGACAACAAGGTGCAGAGCTGGATGAACACAGCAGGCCAAGCAGCATCATAGGAGCAAAAAGGCTGACGTTTCGGGCCTAGACCCTTCATCAGAAATGGGGGAGGGGAAGGGGGTTCTGAAATAAATAGGGAGAGAGGGGGAGGCGGATATAAGATGGATAGAGGAGAAGTGGAGAGGAAACAGACAGATCGAAGAGGCAGGGATGGAGCTAGTAAAGGTGAGTGTAGGTGGGGAGTTAGGGAGGGGATAGGTCAGTCCAGCTCGTCCCCGCCTCCCTAACCTGTCCTTCCTCCCACCCATCCCCTCCTCCCACCTCAAGCCGCACCCCCATCTCCTACCTACTAACCTCATCCCGCCCCCTTGACCTGTCCGTCCTCCCTGGACTGACCT